GCACACGCCTCTAATCCCAGCACTTGGGAGGCAGGCTAATTTCTGTGAGTTCAAGGCCAGCCTGGTCTCCATGGTGAATCCAGGATAGCTGGGGCTACAGGGAGACCCTGTCTCAAAAAGACCGAAAATTTTTTTTTTTTTTTTTTTAAAAAAAAAAAAAAAAAAAAAAAAAAAAAAAAAGAAAAGAAGAAGAGGTCCTAATCCCACATCTAATTACTGAGAACGTTAAGTACTGACATTAGTTCATTTTACTTAAATACACATTTTGAGAGTAATGACTCCCAGATGAACAGGAAGTTACTACTAGAACAGATAAAGTTGAAAGAAGCTTATGTCATTAAAGAAACCAGTTTTTAAAGCTCAGTAGACTTTAATGCATGTCGAATCACATTTTTAAACTCAATATTAAAATGTCAAAAGATATTTTGGAATCATAAGCCCTGAATTTTAGTTTTGTCAAAACTAATAGCTCTTCCATAGGAGAAGTTAAAAATGTATATTAACACTGGCAACACCAAATGCCCTCCAAAATGTGAGGCAATGTAATGAATCAAGGGGACTCACTGAATGGTCTTTTACTTCTGTATCTACAAATAAAGCAAAACCCTGTGCTACCCAGTGCCTGGTCCTTATTTGAAACTATGTGTTCATTCTTCAGTCATTTATTATGTGCCTAGTCATTGCTTAATTTTACATTAAAATTTTTTGTTTTATGCATATAAATGTTTTTTCCTGCATGCATTTAAGTGTAACATGTGTGTGCAATGCCACGAAGGCCAGAAGAGGGTGTTAGATCCCCTGGAACTGGATAGTTGCTAGCTAGCATATGAATGCTGGGACCCTGACCCAGTTGTTTTTTACAAGAGCAGCCAGTGTTCTTAGCCACTGAGTCATCTCTCCAGCCCCTAACCTTTACATTTTATTTATTTATTTAATTTATTGAGAGGTGCACAACTGTAGAGGTCAGAAGACAACTTGTGGGAGTTCTGTCCTTCTACTATATGGGTTCCAGATATGGAACGAACATTGTCAGGCTTGGCAGCAAACGCCTTTACCCACTGAGCCATTTCAACAGCCATTTACTAAACTTCAAATTTTTTAAAACTAATTTATTTTTATTTTATGTGTATGAGTGTTTTGCCTGCATGTATGTAAGTGTACCTGTATGCAATGCCCTCAGAGGCCAGAAGAGGGCATTGGGTCCCCTGAAACTGGAACTGGAACAGACGGTTGTTAGTCACTGGGTTGTTAGTGCTGGGAACTGAACCCTGGTCCTCTGGAAGAACAGCCAGTGTTCTTAGAGGCTGAGCTATTTCTCCAGCCCTCAGTTGCTAAACTTTAAAGTGTGGTGGACTGAAACTAGTAGATTAACTGAGAAGAAGTTTCATAGGGAGGCTTTGGTGCCACCGCAGTGGACAGTTAGGGAAGCATCTCCACTAGGTGTCTGAAGTGACAGACAAAATTTCATGGCATCTTTCAGCTTCAGAGACTGCTTTTGATACTTTACTAACACTCTCCTGGAGACTCTCTTTGCACTCAGCTCTTCTGATACCATTTCATCGGGCTCTCCCTGGCTTTCTCTGCTCACCCCACCTGACGGTTAGAGTTCCCCTGGCCTCCTTTGAGAGACCTGTCTATCTCGCCTGACACACATCCTCCTAGGGGCCTGGCATCCATGCCCATGCCATCATCAACCACTAGAGACTGACAGATGTCTCTCAAAGCCATCTCAGCTCAGCCTCTGCAAGCTGCCTGGGGAAGCTGGGATGCCACATCTTGGGTGTGTCCTGAACATCTCAAAGGCATCTCAGCTGCACCACATCCAAAGTACAAGTCCTGATGATTCCCCTTCTCTCCCCCAGCTGCCAATCAACTACCACTACCACTACTACCATGATGGCTACGATCCTTTCAGTTCTGGAAGTCCTCATATTCACCCCTCCTCTCTTTCATAGCCAACATCACAAATATTTAAGCAGTCCGTCTTTTAAGCCTACCTTGTGAACATTTCATGAGCCTATCTAACCCTTTCTACCCTGTGCTGCAGTTCAGGACTCTCCCTACTGTCTGGATTATTCCTGTCACCTGACACTGTTGCACCATTTTAGCCCCTTCAGATGGAGGCTCTGCAGCATGGGATCTTCTCGAAGTGTAATTGCTTTCACCAGTTCCCAATCATTGTCAGGTTAAAATCCTAATGTACGTGTAAAAGATAACACACACGGATATGGGTAGATAGATGCAAACATATATATGCATAATATACTCCTGATTTCCACAGACGGACCAGAGCATCTTTCCAAAGTAAGATATCATGAAGTTCAGATGTGCAGATTCTGGGGTTTGAGTGCCTGGGCTCATATTCCAGGTTTATAATTTGAGTTATGTGACCTTGAAAAATGTGACTTAATGTGTTCATGCCTCACTGTATTGATTATCTAGCACTATATAAATTACGTCAAAACCTGGTAGCTTAAACTAGTTAACACTTGGAGGTTTCTTTCAGTCAGGAATCTGGGGGGCAGTTTAGCCACATAGTTGCTCAGGGTTGAAGTCCTGAGGTTGAAGTCAAGGCTGGGGCTACCACTATCTGAAGGCATCAACAAGATTAGAAAGTCTTTCCAAATGGCTGCTCTGGTAGCAGGTCATAAGAGGCTGAAGTTCTGAAATGGCTCTTACAGAAGGCCTTGATTTCTTTCTCTCTTTTTTTTTAAGCTTTTATAATTTTATTAGAATTTTAAAGAAAAAGAAATCCTCAGGACAAACGAGCTGGTGATCCTGGCAGCTGCCTTGAGGAGGTGAATGGTGGGAAGAAAGCAAGCAAGCCATGAAGCAGTGCAGGTTTAGAGCCTTTGTGGGAGGTCAGACTCGGGGCTGACTGGCGGCCACATGGCTGAGAGAAGGAAGATTTAGAGAAAGTAAAGAAATACAAGATGCTAGGGGCTGCCCAGAGCCTTAAAGAAAGCATGTTTAGTAAGAAAGGCATGAAGAAAAAGAAGGGAAATTACGCCCTCTGAAGGACTCAGAAAGGCAGACAGTAGGCAGGATTCCAGGCAGGAAAAACTCACTATTTCATGCACTAGGTATTCCACCCATTTATTTAGCGTGACCCGCCTTCCTAGGGGTGATCCTATGGCCAGATGACTGACCAGTTAAAACTCACACAAAATGGAGGAACTCAGGGTATTACATTCCCCACTGGCTCTGGGACATAAGTCAATTTTTTTTACTTGTTTTGATATTGAGGCTCATCTTGGGTCCCTAGAACCAAAATTTTGATGGCATTTGGACGCCTTTTGATCTATCAGGTTAGACATTTTAGGAGGCATGGGCTCACTGTAAAGGCTAGGAGAATTAGCAGAGGCCCAGGAAAACTCAATTATACCTGAATTATTGGCATAAAAACAGCAAACCTCCCCTAAGGCCATGTACGAGCCATCTTTCTTTAGGAACAGTAGGTCAGCCCCCCTCTGTTCTGTAACACCATTTTAGCTAGGGAGTTAACCTGTCTTTCCAACTAGAAGGGCTTAATTTCTTACCACATGAAACCTCCACGAGGTTGCTTGAGTGTGCTCAGGATAAGGCCTCTATCCTCTGCCAGGAAGAATAGCACATGAGAGAGAGTCAAGAAGGCCCCGATGCCATGTGCAACCTAGTCTTAGGACCCACAACTTGTCACTTATGCCATATTTCATAGGTAGAGACAAATCATGTAGTCTAGTCTACAATCTAGGGGAGAGGGACTAGGATTTATGTCTTTAAGAGAACCAGAGATTTTGTGGACCAGTTTTAACGGTGCCACAATATCCTCTTCTGTAGACTAGAGATACAAATAGTAATTGCTTTGTGGAATTAAATGAGCCAATATATATTAGCTGTTTACAACAGTTTTCCCCTCCCCTTACACATCCCATCACCCAGCCTTTCTGAATTCCTCACTCTATGAGTAAGCTGTGGAAACACCTTTGTGCCCCAGCCTTCTGCTTCTCAGTTTCCCTGTAACCTTTAGTGTGTTCTTTTGGGAGCCATGTCCCAAAACCTCTTAGGCTGGGCCACGTGCCCTACAGAGAGCACCCAGGACTCCCTCAAGTCAAGCACCACACACTCCCTTCTTTCTCCTCTATATCATGACGGCAGGTATAACTTCCTCAGGTAACCGCCCCTTCCAGCAGGGCCTCCCTGGCATTAGGCAGAATCAGGAGTTCCTTCTCATCTCATCTCTTGGAGCTTCAAGCACATTTCTGTTTATTGTATTCTAATTGTCTCTGTCTCTCACTGAGACTTTGTTTTAACTTCATAGCTCAAGCTCAAGCATCATCTCCAGAGCATGGTGGTGTCCAACAGACAGTTTGTCAACAAGTGAATAAATATCTAAGGACTACAGGTGTGTGCCACCATGCCTGGCAAGAGAATAGTTTTAAGTTATAAAATCAAGAGCCAGGTATGGTGGTGCATACCTGTAATCCTAGCATTTGGGCAGTGGTAGCATAAGAATGAGTTTAAGACCAGCCTTGGGGGCTAGAGAGATGGCTCAGTGGTTAAGAGCACTGGCTGCTCTTGCAGAGGACCCAGGTTCAAGTCCCAGCAACAACACGGTAGTTGACAACCATCTATAACTCTAGTTCCAGGGGATCTGAAGCCCTCTCCTGACCTCCATGGGCATTGTACCACATGGGTGCACTTACATACATATAGGCAATATACTCATACACATAAAATAAAAATAATAAATAAAATATTTTTTAAAAAGACCAGCCTTGGACACATATTGAGTTAGAGGCCAGACAGCTACATGAGACCCTGTTTCAAAAACAAAATAATTCAAAAAACACAAGCCTTTAATCACAGCGTGCAGGAGGCAGAGACAAGTCAATCTCTGTGAGATGGAGGCCAGCCTGATTTACTTAGCAAGTTCCAGGCCAGCTGGGGCTATAAGGGGACTCTTTCTAAAAAAAAAAAAAAAAAAAAAAAAAAAAAACAAAAGCTTTGTACAGGAAGAATCAGAGAAATCAACGAAACAGATCAAGTAAATTAGAAGGGTACATTGCATATGGCTAGACCTCAGTATTGGCCAACTATAAGTAAACTGTAATTATCTCTACACAAACTCCAGCCAAATGTTACAGTGTATATAACAGACAACATCTATGCTCAGAGTTCTGTTTCTCAGTCTGCTTCTACCTATCTCTATTACTAATTAATGTAATCTAGGTTTAATTATATGTTTATAACATCACTATGTTTATAAACTATGCCTGAGTCAAAGAACTGTGAGAGAAAAGTCTGTTCATTGTTCACCGTTTACAAGACAAGAGGCAAAGAAAATTTCCCACACATTAAATACATTACTTAAAAGTTAGGTTATTCCCCTTTTTGCACTGGTGCTGGACTGGAGGAAGCAGGCATTGCCTAGACATGCAGAACGACGCCGGAGAGTTATGTTCCGTGAGCAATCGCATCATTGGTGTGAAGGACCACGCATCCATCCAGAAGAATGCGGCAGAGGTTGGCAAGGTAACTTATCTGTGGAGCCATTCGCAGGATGGGTGAGTCAGATGATTCTATTCTTCAACTGGCAAAGGCGGACGGCATCGTTTCAAAGAACTTCTGACCAGAGGAAATTGGAGAATGTCACATATAGAGAGAACCAAAAAAAAAAAAAGTTAGGTTATTTCACTTTTAATGCTTTTAAACACTGTTACTAAAACAAAGCACCCAAAAATAAACAAAGATTTTTCCTGGTGGCCAAAAATGGAAAGAAATCATGTTTAAAATAAATGCAAAATAAATCTTAACCTAAATCTATTTTTCAACAGCAACTCAGAATGTGGCTGAGTTACAGCTGTGACTGGTCATTCAAACACGGCACACTAGAAATGGACCATGCAGATAGGTGAAATGCAAACATTTTGGTGGTTTTTTGTTTTTGGCTTTTTATTATTATTGAGACAAAGTCTTATTGTATAGCTTATACTGACCTTGAATTTGTAATTCTCCCGCCTCTACCTCCTGAGTTCTGGGATTACAGACATATACTACCACACCCCACTGGAAATCTTTTTGAAAGATTTATTTCATTTATTTATTTATTGGGGAGGGGCATGTTTCACAGAGGATATCAAAACACAAAACAAATAAGAAGCCTGTGAACCGGTAGTTGATAAATAACAAACATTCAGTTCTCACAGTTACAGGATGGGCTCTCCAAGATCAAAGTGCTGGCAGATTCCCTCTGTTGAAGGGCTCCTTACAGTTCTGACAGCATCTTCAAGCTCTGTCCTCATATGGTGGAAGGAGGCAGAGGAACTCTCCAGGCCCCTTTACAGGCCACTCATCCCACTCATGACAGTTGTGATCTCAAGTCTCAGTCACTTCCCAAAGGTCCTGCCTCCTGACTCCCCTCAGATTTGCAGATTTGGATTTCAGCCTGTGAATTCTGGAGGGACACAAGCATCCAGACCACAGCACTAAGAAAACAGAAGCCAACCGTGGCCTCTAAACTATGGTTTGGGAGCAAGCTTGAGTGACAGAGGCCCAGGGAGTTCCTACTGTAGACACTGTGAAGAGACACTGAGCGTTTCAGAATCGGAAGAGGTTTTATATATATGGGAGTCACATGACCCAGAGTTTTAATGCCAGTCTCATTTCAACTCTTCTGCTCCTGTTCCTTTGTCAGTTCATGAGTCACGGGCCATCTGGGCTAGCAGCTTAGTTTTACAGGCAAAGAAATGGGATAACTAATTTACCAAACATCACACAAACAATCAGTGCCAGATGGAATGCCACGCTGCTAATTCCCAACTGTCTTTCTGACCACTTCCTAGGACAAAGGCAAGGTTTCCTGTAGCCAGAATCTAGACTTTTCACAACATATACTGACTGCTTTTTTATGGTTTGCCTCACAATGAAGAAAACCTGAATTTAAAAAGGAAATTTCAAATGAGCTAATATTTCGGCTTATAAATGATTTAAGCTGTTTCAATTAAACTGAAAATATTTTCAGTAACTAATTTTTTGATGCCCTGAAGAAAAATGTGAATGGGTGGATTTTATATTAATTAGAAGACATGATGTAGATTACAGTGTAGAAAATTAAAATTTAGAGCTACGTGTAGTACACATGCCTGTGATCCCAGCACTCAGGAGGCTGAGGCATGAGGATCATAAATTTGAGGCCAGCCTATGCTACACACTGTTTAAAAAAAAATTTAAACTATCAAATAAAATGAAGAAGGGAAAAGAGAAATCTTGAAGAAGATAAATGAACAACAGGACTTGGGGACATTTGTTAGACGTGAGTATTCATGATTCACCGCTGTTTAAAATAAACTTCAGACTTCAGGGTTTAAAATCTTTCTCTAGCTGGGTGTGGTGGCACATGCCTTTAGTTCCAGCACTCAGGAGGCAGAGGCAGGCAGATCTCTGTGAGTTCAAGGCTAGCCTGGTCTACATAGTGAGTTCCACTCAGCAACACAGCACACTGAACAGTGCCTGCCATTTCCCCTTGAGATAGCATGGCTGCCTGGGATAGTTCCTCGCCACTGCCCAGGATGGACAGGATCAAGCCACACAGCTAGCTCAGGAAAAGATCCAAATTCAAGTATGGTGGCGTACACCTTTAATCCCAGCACTCAGGAGGCAGAGGCAGGCAGGTCTTTGTGAGATCAAGACCAGTGTGGTCTACATAGTCAGGTTCAAGGTCAGCTGGGGCTATAGGGAGACCCTGTCTCAAAAAGAAGCTGGTCATGGTGGCACACGCCTTTAATCCCCACACTCAGGAGGCAGAAGCTGGAGAATCTCTGAGTTCGAGGCCAGTCTGGTCTCCATTAGCAAATCCAGGCCAGCTGTGGCTACATGGAGACCTTGTCTCAAAAAGACCAAAACAACAACAATAACAACAACAACAACAACAAAAAAGCAACCTTTCTCCATTTTGGGCTGAGGGGCTGAGGGGCTGAGGGACTGAGGGGCTGGCTTAGTCAGTAAAGTGCTTGCCTTTAGGCACAAGGACCTCAGATTGATCCCCAGTAAAAATGCTGGCTAGGCATGGTGGCATGCACTTGTAATCCCAGCATTTGTAATCCCTGGAGACAGAAACAGGAGGATCCTTGGGGCTGACTGACCAGCCAGTCTAGCCTACTCAGATAGTTCCAGGAAAATAAGAGACCCTGTCTTGAAAGAGGGTCAGCATTCCGAGGAAGACACCCAAGGCTGTCCTCTTGCCTCCATAAACACATGCACAGGAATATGCATAGACACATAAAGTTTCTCAGCCTTAATCCAAGAGAGAACAGGAAAAGCAAGACTGACATAGGATTCTGAGGACTGACACTAGAACTTGCTCTCTCTCACTACTAGGCTGAGGAGAGAAAAAGGGTAGATGGGAAGGACCTCAGCCCCAGAAGACCAGCAAAGTAACAGGCTCAAAAATCACTCCAAATGCCACTTATTTCATTAAAGAAATAACTTTTTTTGTCTATAAAAGTACTACTTACAGGGTTGGAGAGATGGCTCAGTGGTTAAGAGTACTGACTGTTCTTGCAGAGGACCTGGGTTCTATTCCCAGCACCCACATGGTGGCTATGAGCCATCTTTAACTCCAGTTCCAGGGGAATCCGATGCCCTCTTCTGACCTCCACAGCACTGCACAACACAGGTGCATTCACATACATGCAGGCAATACACTCATATACATAAAAATAAACAAAGTTTTAAAAAGTACTACTTAGATTTTGTAGTAGAGAGAAAACAGAAGAAAAAGCACTTATACTCTTTATAACCAAATAAATTTCATTTATATTTGAGTATATTTTTTTCTTTCTTTTTTTAACTTAAAAAAAATTTTATTTATTATTTTTATTTTACGTGTTTGTGTGTACTGCCTGCATGTAGGTAAGCGCACCCGTGTCATGCAATGCCCGCAGAGGTCAGAAGAGGCTGTCAGATCCCCTGGGACTGGAGTTACCAACAGCTGTTAGCTGCCATGTGGGTGCTGGGATTTGAACCCAGGTCTTCTGCAGAAACAACCAGTGTTCTTAACTGCTGAGCCATCTCTCCAGCCCCTTGAGTATATTTTTTCATTCTTTCTTTCCAAATACTGAGATAATATCATACTTACAAATATTAGCTTTGACTTCTTATTATTTGTTTTTTGAAGCAATGTCTTTATATAGCCCAGGCTGGCTTCAAAATAGCAATCTTCCTGCCTCAGCCTCCTGAGTGCTGAGATTACTGTTAGCCTGCTTTTTGAATTATATAGTGTTATGAATATTTTCTTTCTTTTTTTGAAACAGGGTCTCCCTGTAGCCCCAGCTGGCCTGGAACTTGCTATGTTGATCAGGCTGGCCTTGAACCCATAGAGATCTGCCTGCCTGAGTGCTGGGATTAAAGATGTGTGCCACCATGCCCAGCTTGTGAATATTTTTTTTCTATTTAAAAAATATTTTATTTTTGTTTTTATGTGCATGAGTGTATTGCCTGTATGTGTATAAGAGCACCCACCCATGTAATGCAGTGCCCAAGGTGAGAAGAGGGCATCAGATCCCCTGGAGCTGGAGTTATGGATGGTTGTTAATCACTATCTGGGTGCTGGGAATCAAACCTTCATCTTCTGCAAGAGTAGCCAGTGCTCTTAACTGCTGAGCCATCTCTCCAGCCCCATGAATATTTTCTTATGTCATTTAAAATTAGTTGCAAGTTTGTAAATGACTGTAAGGTAGCATAAGCAGACCTAATTTATGCAATATTGTTCTTTTTAAAAAATTTGTTTTTATTAAATTTTGTTGTATTTCATACAGAATATCTCAAACAATCTGAATCATCTTTATAGCCCTGTCCCTGCAATATTGTTCTTAATTACGAATATTACATGCAACACTGTAATCAGTTTCTTTATGTAGAATTTGTCATATTTCTGATTATTTCCTTTAGAAAGAAGACCATAAGTTGAAGTACTAGTTAAAGTTTGAATAATTTAAGATTTGGATAATTTAAGATTCCTCTCTCTCTCTCTCTCTCTCTCTCTCTCTCTTTCTCTCTCTCAAGACAGGATCTTGTTATATAGCCCAGACTGGCCTCAAACTCTCAGCAATTCTCCTGCCTCATCCTCAAATTCTGGGATTACAGGCATGCCTGAAGTTGCCTGAAGTGCCTGTTACCGTGGCGTCAACCTTTCTGATGCGGATCAACTTTGTTGCTGATCTGAGAAGAAAAAAACAGGCATCACCTTGCTTTAGCTGTGATGTGGTTGTTAGTGAGTGTCCATGTATTTTCATAGAATTATGTGCAGTTTGTATTCTCTTTCAGTAAATCACCTCTGTGTTCTTTATTCATTGGGAGTTCTTTGGTATAGCAGTTTGGAAGCACAGGTAATGACCTCCAATCATCTTTCATTATAACCTCCTCATGTAAGTTGAAGGAAGCATTCTCTTTTGGAATTTTCTAAAGAAAAGTTCGTGAATCAATAAAAGAAATTCTTAAACCTGTCACAATAGAATAATGCTGTTTTAAATAATTATGGAATGACCAACTTTTGCCAAATAAATGATATATAAAATATTAATATTTAGACCCAAGCAATAATTTTTCCTCCTTTGGCTTTTTGAAACAGAGACTATTTAGCTCAGGTTGGCCTCAAACTCACAATCCTCCTGCCTCTGCCTCCTGAGAGCTGCAATTACAGGCATACACCACCATGCCCAGCTCCAACGCAGATTTTTTCACATAAAAAAATGTCAACAGCTTGTTCATCAGGTGGTTTGTGCTTATTAAAAAATACATATCGCCATCTAGAGGTAAAAAGAAGGACAGCACTTTTTTCAGTTAAAAATTTTTTAGGACTGGAAATGTAGCTCAGTTGGTAGAAGTCTTTCCTAGTATGAACAAAACCCTGGGTTCAATCTGCAGCACCACATAAACCAGGAATTCTGGTGCACTCCTGTAACTCCAGCACTTTGGAGATGGAGGCAGGAGGATCGGAAGTTCAAGACTACATATGAGTTTAAGGGTAGCCTGGGATATATGAGACCTTACTTATTAACAATATTAATAACAAGTTTTTGTCTTAAAACCAAAATATCAAGTCCACATATTTTATATTCACAATTCTCTATGTATATTCACAATAACTGAGTGAAAATGTCTAAGCTTTAATAGTTCTGAAATGTAAGATAAAACCATGTGTGTGGAGTTCAAAGCCAGCCTGGTCTGTATAGCAAGTTCTGGGGTTACAGGGAGACCCTCTCTCAAAAAAAATTAGAGAAAAGAAAGGAAAGAAAAGTAAATTCTTCTTTGGTTCTCTTAAAGCCAAATGAAATGGGTCACACAGAATGCTAGGGGAGAAGAGACAGAGAACCTCTGTCATGAAAGAGGAAGATGTCTCAGCCAGTTGAGACTAGTTTTCTTGGATATTATAGAAAAAGAGCAAGTAGGGGTAGTCAAAGATAGACAAAAATAGATTCTGTCAGGGCTGGCACTGCCTCACCCCACACACACCCCGGAAGGGGGCAGGGTGACAGACCGAGTGTAAGGAGGTCCCTGATTAGCCTCACCTTCTGCACCTGCTACCTGGCTTGTCACCTAATGAGCAAGCATGCCTGTCTGTTCTGAAACTTACCTAGTCTATGTTATTCCAAGGATGGCAGATGTTCATTGCTGGAAATCAACAGCAGGTCACGATCTGATGTTCTGAAGAGGCTTTCTGCTTCGGTGCTGTTTGTGAGTATAATCTGTGATGAATCCAGTAAACTGTTCCTGTGTCTCTCATTTTGCATAATGTAGCTGAGTTCTCATCTGTGGGTACCAGAATTTTTCTGGAAAGAGAAAACATCTCCTACAAAGATCTTAGGTCTTGGCAAATAAGAAAGAAAGTAACTGGGAGCCAAGATGGTGGCAGCACAGCTGCCCCGGGGCAATGGAGAAGAGAGGGAAGGTTTACGAGGACCTCAGAGCTGGTTGTATACTCCTCAAGTGCCTGGCCCAGGGCATGGCGAAGGTGGAGAGTTTTAAGTGGGAAATGACTTTTGTGTTTCAATCAGAGGACTTGCAACGGAACTCCGGTAAGATGTCTCGTCGCCTGTCTCCCTGACCACGGAGGAAGATGTGAAAACAGCGGACACCAAAAGACCATGAACAAGAAGAACACTGATTCGTCTGTCTCCTTGAGCAAAAGTGAAAAGTGGTTTTCTTCAACTGATGCCCTCTCTAGCGAGAAATTCAAGCCAACAAGCAGCTCTTGCCTCTGTTTGCTGCACAGAAGTCAACATGCTCTTCTTAAACATAAGCATAACCATGTGGACAGAGAGACGGAGACAGAAAAATAGTAGGAACCTGCGTAATTGAAACTATGACCCCTCCCATGACCCTGGAGCTGTGGCCCCCTCCTGTGAGCCTGGGCTGTGGTTGTCTCCCGTGAGCTGGAGCTGTGGTCCCCAACCGTGAGTGGGCTGATGCTGGAGCAGAGTGGAGGATGGGTTGCTTCCTGGTTTGGGGCAGCAGTTTCAGCCTTCTCGGAGTCTCTGCAATCCCCACAAATCCCCTCCACGTCTCAGGTTGTGCCTGTCAGTGGCTTTGCCTCTGTGTTGGGCTTTTGCTGGGGAGAGGAGAGGTTTCTGTCATTTGCAAATTCAAGTCTTCGGAAGACTGATTCTCGAGAATGGACTTCCTACCTCCCTGACGGCCTGCTACGGTCTTGACTCTACACATGGTTCTGAGCATCCCAGCCTTGACGTTGGACCTTTCCCATTCCCAGTCACCAAGAGGTTTTCCACCATTTTTCTATTACTCTTCTACAGACCCAGTGTGCCTTCACCTGTGCCCAGTAGAAAATGTAAATCACCTAATTGATCTTCTAAAGATAAAATCACAGTCTGGGAAGTTAATTTGTGTGTATGTGTGTGTGTGTGTGTGTGTGTGTGTGTGTGTCTGTCTGTCTGTCTGTCTGTCTTACTCTGGATTGAATATAGGGCTTTCTACATACTAGGCAAGCATTCTACCACTGGGCTGTTTCTCTAGCCCATATAGGATATTTTTGTTTTGTTTTGTTGAGACAAAGTCTTACCTTGTAACCCTGGCAGCCCTAGGACTAGCTGGGTAGGCCAGAGTGGCCTGAAATTTGTAGTAATCCTCATGTCTCTGACTCTCGAGTACTGAGATTATAGGCAAGAGCCACCACACACAACTAAGGATAAAACATCAAAAATTGATATGTTGGGACTGGTGAGATGACTTAGTGGTTAAGAGCACTGATTGCTCTTGCAGAGGACCTGGGTTCGATTCCTCGTCCCCATATGGTGGCTAGTAACCATCCATAACTCAAGTTCTAGGGGATCCGACACCCTCTTATGACCTCTGAGAGCATTGCATGACATGGGTGCACTTAAATAAATAAATGAATTTTTCATATTAGTTGCAAGAATTCTTAGACCTTATGTAAATCTGGGTATTTTTTTCATACCATGACTCTAGTCACAGTGTAGTCAACCATTTTCTTTAACCTTCTTTAAGAACTTCAGTGATACTACCATTATTATTATTATTATTATTATTATTATTATTATTGTTTGTTTTGGTTTTGAGACAGAGTCTCACTATGTAGCCCCAGCTGGCCTGGTATGGAACTCACAGAGCTCCACCTGCCTCGGCCTCCTGAGTGCTGGAATCAGAGTGTGTGCCACCACACCCAACAGTTATCCTATCTTAGATCTAATACTAAGGACCATAGCTGTTATGCTAACTTAATAGTGCAATGCATCGCATATACAGTATATATTATCTACTCTAAGCACATTCTTATCCATAGAGTTTTGTGGACAGACATGATGAAGCTACAGCCATTATCAATTCCTCCATGCTTGGATATACAATGTTCTAGGCTTTAGATCACAGAAAGAATGCCTGAATTAGGCAGGTGAGGATAACAACAGAAAATTGCTATCGTGGTGTCCTGAAGCTACTTAGTTTTGAAAAAAATACATAATCTATGTAGAAGTGAGTTCTATGACTGTCTGTCTGCCTTGCTGTTGACACGCGGCTCATTAGAGCAGTTGTTTCAAACCTGTTGATGACAGTTTCCTCTTTGTGATCCCGTTGGGCTCTGCATCATTTTAATTCGTAGTTTCTAAATTTGTCTGTTTCTCAGCTTCATTATGGTTTGCTTTCCAGTTGAGCTATGAATACTCCAAGAGAAACTGCGTCTTGGATCTGTACTTCCAGTCCCCAAGAGTGCCATCTGTGAGCATGTGTATGGAGCAGGTGAGGGAGCCTTGCTGGTGACTCTGAAGACACAGTCTCTGGCAAAGGTGAATGTACAAGGCCCAGTAGAGTTCGGGTGAGTAAACATTCAATAACTGCCCGTGACAAAGGTCATGCAAAGTGTTGCTTCAGATCTGCTTTTACGCTTAAGCAATGTAGCTTGATTTAAAAGAAAAACACAAAAATATGCTTTTGAAATGTCCAAATTTGAATGGTCTCCAATTTCTAATTCATATTTTGGGAAGGGATTCTCTTTGGGGAATTACATAATCATAACTTGTTTTTAACAGGGAAGAGAAAAAAAAACTAAAAATCTTTCCCTAAGTTTTTATTCTGAAAAAATTCAAACATCTAGAAAAACTAAAACATTAGAATAGATAGGCTGGGATGTAGCTCTGTGCAGAGTGCTTGCCTAGCATGCCTGAGGCCTTGGATTCAACCCCCAGTACTGCCGAAGAACAGAAATCACCGACCACCTATACCTATCATTAATTATTATAACCTTTATTAGCTGTTATTAACATTCTTCATCAAACCATATATTTCTGAACCACCAAAAATAAGTTGTAGATCATCGTGACATGGTGCCTCTAAATACTTCCTCAAGCTTCATCAAAGAACAGGAATGCACTCCTTCAAACCCAGCTCCACTGTCACACCTAAGAAAACAAACAATGCCCTAGTATCTAATATTCAGCTCAAACCCAAATGTCTACAATAGTCCCAGGGTGTCCATTGCAGCTGCTTTTAAATCAGGATCAATTCAGGGTTTACACACTGCATGTGGGTGTGTGGTTTTTCAAGCTCTCATGTATCAGGCACTTACAATGTCCCAAATTACACAGGCCATCCTATTTTTCACAAGAATACTGGACATAATTTTTGTTGTAAAATGGTAGAATAAAACGGTGATAAAGTGGGGCTGGAGAGATGGCTCAGTGGTTAAGAGCACTGGCTGCTCTTCCAGAAGACCTAGGTTCAATTCCTAGCACCCACATGACAGCTAACAACTGTCTGTAACTCCAGGTCCAGGGGATCCAACACCCTCTTCTGGTCTCTGAGGGCATTGCATGACATAGGTTCACTTACATATATGTAGACAACACACTCATACACATAAAATAAAAATAATAAATAGCCGGGTGTGGTGGCGCACGCCTTTAATCCCAGCACTTGGGAGGCAGAGGCAGATGGATCTCTGTGAGTTCAAGGCCAGCCTAGTCTACAATGAGTTCCAGGACAGATGGGGCTACAGGGAGACCCTGTCTCAAAAAGACCAAAAAGTAATAATAATAATAATAATAATAAATATTTTAAATGGTGATAAAGCGTAGTACTTATCTCTGAATACTTGATGTATTTTAAGCACTTGCTATTATTGTCACAGAAACTTGGCCCATGCTAGGGACTAATACATAGCTATGGAATAAAGGAAACTTGGCATACTTTTCCAAGCTGGTAGAAAAACTACTACAACAGCATGATGGGAAATTACTTGAGTTATTGTAATGGTGTGCTGAAATAGCCTGTCTGATTTCTCTAGGCACCTGAGTGGACAAATTTGAGAAGTCTAGTATTAACTTCCTAAAACAACACAGTGCAGGAAAACAAATACAGTTAGGTCAATTTTGCATCTATTCACCACATTATATGTGTTGTATATGTGTGTGCGTATGTGTATATGGGAGAGCATCCCTGTGTGTGGTGAACATGCCCATGCACTGCAAGTGTGGAGATCAGAGGTCAATATTGAATTGGATATCTTCCTCTGCCTTATTTATTTATTTGGGTTTGTAGTTGTTGTTGTTTTAGACAGGGTCTCCTTGTAGCTCCAACTGGCCTGGAACTAACTGTGTAGACCAGGCTGGCCTTGAATTCACAGAGATTCACCTGCCTCTGCCTCCCGAGTGCTGGGATTAAAGGCATGTGCCACTACGTCAGGCCTCTACCTTATTTTTTGAGACAGGTTCTCACTATGTAGCCCTGGGACCAGGCTGGTCTGGAACTCACAGAGATCTGCCTGGCTCTGTCTCCTGAGTTCTGGTACTAAAGGCATGTGTCACCATGCCTGCTCAAGACAGCGTCTCTCATTGATCTAGAGCTTGCTGTTTCAGATAGACTGGCTGGCCAGCAAGCCCATGGGATTCACCTATCTCTGCTTCCTGAGTGCACCCCACCACATCAGGCTTTTATGTGAGTGTTAGGGATCCAAACTCAGGTCTCCATGCTTATACAGGAAGCACTTTACTCCCTGAGCCATCTCCCAAGTTCCATCTTTTACTTCAATAGTTTAAATGGCTCTTAACATCGGAGAGGAAGGGAAGTAATTTCTTTTGTCTTGTTTGACCATAGGATAGATCAAATTTGGACATCAAATAAAGGGTAGCAATACGAAATGTCAGGTTTGGTATCCAGACAATTTCTCCTTTTTAAATTTTGGGTCACAGAATTTTAAGAACACAGAATCACAAAATATACAAATATACAAATACAGATGTAGGCGGCAATAATATTTTAATCTCCCCAAGTTATGGCCAAGTAATCTCTGGCAAGACATACAGTGATATTACAAAGGAAGCAAAAGAGGGCCACAGTTTCAAATTTTGGTATAGCACTGATAACTATTAGCTGGTGGGAAAACAAGTCCTTCATGTCGTTTTCTAACCTTAAAGGTTTTCTGATTTTTTGTCAGTTTTCTTTGGAATATAAGAATTACATCTGGGGGCTGGGGAGATAGCTCAGCGGTTAAGAACACTGGTTGTTCTTGCAGAAGACCCAGGTTCAAATCCCAGCACCCATATGGCAGCTAACAACTGTCTGTAACTCCAGTCCTAGGGGATCCGACAGCCTCTTGTGACCTCCTCGGGCATTGCATGACACGGGTGCATTTACCTACATGCAGGCAATACACACATACACATAAAATAAAAATAATAATTTTTTTTAAAAAAAAGAACTACATCTGTCAAGGAACTGTTTTAGGAAAGATAATTGATGATTTATCATACATGTAATTTTCACAACGTGTAAGTGAAGGATCTCAACTTATAGTTTCTATGATAAATGTTGATTGCAGCCATCTTGCACAGAAGTTATGGGGCTGTCTTCCACTGAGGTGTAGCACTGATGGTATAGAGGTTAACACAACTGCCTTTCAAGTGCTGGCTGAATCCCTTAAACACTCAGTTAACTTTGCAGTCATATACTGGCATTTAACGTAAATAGTGAAATCATTTGCCTTATCCAAAATTTTTTTTTGTAATATATTGTGGTATCTTTCTGGTTCTCTGTGAGGAAATGAAACCTGAATTCAAAGAAATTCCTGCCACCACCTTCACCTATACCAGTACACATCTATCCAAAAGAACATTTCCAGTGCTTTCTTTGTGTCACTAGAAAGGACTAGTATTTAATGCCTAGTATTAAAAAAAAACAAACAAACAAACCAAGACAGATCACTGGACAAGTGGTGCATGCCTGTAGTCTCAGCACTCAAGAGGCGGAAGCAGGGAGAGTTCTAGAGCAGCCTAGGCCAACCCTGACTCAAAAACAAGTGAACAACAAAAAAGTTTAATAACACTGAAAGTTTTTTCTTTTTCTTTTCTTTTTTTTAAACCACACACTTAGAAAGCAGAGAGGCATACCCCTGGGTCTATGTCAGTATACTCTGGAAGGGAACTGCAGGTTGGCAGGTTGACGTTCACTCAAGCCTTGGTGGGAGCCACGTTCCCTCCTTCTGGTTTGCCTATTAGAATTTGGCCTTCATTATCCAGGTACTCCCCCCGCCCCCAATCGATGATGTGGCCACTAAAACATTAACCTGGTCTAGGAATGTAGCTAGGTGATGGAATGACTGCCTGACATGTGCATAACCCTGAGTTCAGTCCACAGCAACAAAACAACACAGCAAAATGTTCACATTCACTGAAGTCTTGACATAAACAGCAAAGCATTTTTCCAAATTAACATGTTCCTATGGTTTGGATATGGTCTTAGCATGTCTTTCCACAGGTCTACGTGTGGTGTGCTTAGCTCCTAACTTGGTGGTGCTGGGAGATGTTGGCAACCATTAAGAAGTGGGGCCTACTGAAGGTCTCTGGAGCACAGCCTTGGAGGAGACTAAGGTAGTTCCCAGGGAATCCCTTGGTAGTCTTTCCTAGAGGGTTAGAAAAGTGCATGCTGGGTTCATCTAGCTCTCTCTGGCTTTCCACTTAGCAATGTGATTTCTTCCATGCACACATGCCCCACCTTTGCCATCTGCCATTGCAACTATTAGGTGACCTAGCAAGGACACCTCTGCTGTCTGGACTTTGAGCCTTCAAAACTGTGAGCTCAATAAACGTTTTTTCTTCATAAGTAGCCTGCCTTAGACATTTCATTAAAGCAACGAAAACTGACTAGTAGACATCTTCAGAAATATTTAATATTTAAAATACCTCTAGGCTAGAATGGAAATGTCATGAGACAAAGGCTTCTGTCGATTCTTGTCACTACCGTGTTCACAAGTACTAGCATGCAGGGAATATTCAACGTGTTTGCTGAATGGATCTATTGCATGATTGAACTCTTTTTTTTTTTTTTTTTTTTTTTTTTTTTTTTTGTCTTTTTGAGACAGGGTCTCCCTGTAGCCCCAGCTGTCCTGGAACTCACTATGTATACTAGGCTGGCCTTGAACTCACAGAGATCCGCCTGCCTCTGCCTCCCAAGTGCTGGGACTACAGGCATGGATCACCATGCCCGGCTCAATGATTGAACTCTTAAGGTAGTTATTCATCTCTGGGAAGATAAGGGGCAACCAGCAGACCGCATAGTGCCATGAAGTGTGTACTCTCTGGTCCACACAACTATAACCTAGGACCTGCAATCAAATAGAAACTACACATCTGAACATGAACCCAACAAAGATTGAAGGCACAAATCAGCTTTAAAAAAAAAGTGGGTGGTTTATAGCCTCAGCCTACATATTCTGCCACACCACTGCTCCTGCTCAACCATCAACTATGGAACTATGGGGAATTCCCTATGACCGGCGCTAAGTGAGAAAAAGTCAAACTTACTGAGCAGTACTGTGACAAGCAGCTGGCTGAGGATTCTCTTACTCTACCCAGGTGGAAATTAAAAACAGGCAAAGAATATG